CGCACGCGTCGGCTTGGCGAGCCCGGGAGCGTGCCGCCACCTTTATGCCAACGCTGTGCTAGACTGAACTGTGCTTGTCCTTTGTTGCCTCTCTTAAGGAAATACCAAATGTATCGAGGTATCTTTACATGCTGTGTAAGATACGCGGACGTGAAACACTTTTATTAACAACTGTTTATCGCTCTAGGAAAAAAAAAAACATTTCAGGGAAATCTAAGAAATGTTTATTGCTTCTTTAAAATATATACTTCATGTGCTTTTTTTACAATTATCTGGATCCATAAACATTGCTTCATCCCATTTCAAAAATTCTTTGGGCATTACTTCTGGACCTGATTTTTCTAACCCCACCCACACCAAACAGCATTCAGTGCTTGAGAGCTTTACTGCCTGGTGCTGTGCCGACGTGGCAACGAACGGCACGGGTGCCAGGGCCGTGGTGTGGGTACCCAAGCACAAACCCTCCGCTGTGAATGAACCCCCCCTTCTACCATGGCTTTCTGCGGGGCAGCGGTGACAAATTTCATGCGTATTTACTATGAAATGTGAAACTCTGACCCATGGCAAAGCTCCGACCATGATTAACAGCCTGATGGAGCATCCTTGGGTACAGCCCCTGCAGCCAGGTGTTTGTATTGACTTCCCTGCCCGTTGGCATTCCCCTGCCCGTTGGCATGCCCCTGCCCATTTCACTGCTGGGCTGCCAGTACCCACCGGGTCCCTGCATGGCTCCTGGGATGGTCCTGCCAGCCCCAGGGCTCTGCTGCGTAACTCAACCCAGTGCAACAACTCCGCACGCTGCCCTGCCCTAACACCGTGTGTTCCACACATTGTAAAACCTTGCAAGCGCCCAGCGCTGCCCCGATAAATCCCTCTTTCTGCTCCAGCACTACAGCAGGCAGGGGCTCTCCCTGGGACACGCGCCCTGAGCACGGGCCACCGTGTCCCTCCTGCGATGGGGTGTCCTGGCTGTCCCTTGGGATGCTGTGCCTGCCCCACTCCAGTTCTGGAGGAGGAACCAGTAGCGTGAGCCTGATTTTTACAGGAAAAGTCTGGTAACCCTTACCTGGCTTCACCAAAGCACAATTTAAACTTTTTGAAAGAGTCACCTGGCTCCTCGCTCAAAACTCCAAAGATTTACTCTTCTGATATGGAAAAGTGTGCCAAATGACAGACTATTTTTCCTACTCTGATGACAGTATCACTGGGAAAGCTGAGCGGCGTGCCAGCCTGCACTGCACTGCTGTACCCCACAGCGCCCAGCTATGGGAGAGGACTGGGGGTGCCCCAGGAACAGTGGGAAGGGCAGGGGGGGAGGCCAGGGAGGTCAGAGGGCACACCTGACGTGGCAGATGTGCTCAGGCAGTGGTGCCCACAGGGAACTCACCAGGCCAGGAGGGAGGTGAGATGGTCCGGCGTGGTGGGGTCCGGGCTGATGGGGGGAGACGTGACGAAAGCTGCAGCTTTGGCCCAGTTCTTACTCCAGTAGTGCGAGCCGTCGGCGCCCAGGCTGGCGGTGATGGGCTCGCCGTACACCACCGCGCCTACGGAGCAAGCAATTAATGCGTGCGGCCGCGCCGCGTGTCCGGCCGCCGCATGTCACACGCCGCAGGCAAGCACGGTGGTTAACGATACACGATGGTTTCACTTCTCTCCAGTGTTCCCACTACTTCAGTTTTTAAAATTCACGTTAATCTTTTAGATTATCTCAGATGACTGGGAAACGCTGTCAAAACAAGCTGTGCATCCGTCTGTTTTCTCCTTAGCCCAAGCACACATTCACAGCTACAGCCCATCACCCCTTCCTTTAGCTCAAAGCAGCGTCTCTGGCAGCGCCTCCCGGCTGGGGGCTGCAGATCCCCAGTCCCTGGGCACGACCTCGTGCCCTGCTCCTGGCAGGAACGCTCCCAGCCCTTCCCACTCTACCCCCAGTTTGAATTTGGAGCTTGCTCCAGATTAATTTTTCATTTAGCTCATGACAAATGATTCCCACTGAATTATTTCCTTTTTTTCAGCTGCGTCTACTGAGATTCAGGTGTCAAGCGCATCTCCCCGAGTCTCTCCAGCCCAGAGCCATCAGCTGTGGCACGCGCTGCGAAAGGATGGCAGCACCAAGTTTTAGCACCGTTAACATGTGAGAGAACATGAGTGATAACGGGTCCTTAAACCCTGCAGCCAGAGTGATGCTCCTGGACACGTTTAAATGGGCTATGTCAGGGTGGGAACACGGATCGGCGCTTTACCTTTTCTCTTCGCTTGAGCTAAGACATCTGCTGCGCCTCTGCTCATGATCTTGGTGACGTACAAGGGGCAGTTGGCTTGTTTGGCGATGGTGATGGCGCGGTACACCGCCTCCGCTTCCACCTGCCGACATGAGCACACGGGCAGAAGACATCTCAGGGCACGTCCGCGACAGCCGCAGCGGGGCTGGGGAGCACTGGGGACGTACCTCCTCGGGGCGGCTGAGGACGTGCCCTTCCGGCCCCGTAATCCCCAGTTCCAGCAGCCTCTTCTGCTCCTAGGTGGACGAAGATGAACGGGAGAGCAGTCAGCGATATGAACAGCCTGTCTGGAGCAACCCGGGGACAAAACACCTGTTCAGAAGCACCTGAAGGGCGATGGAAATTCCCGAGGATGACATGGGGAGACCATCTATACCCACAACACTCCAAGAACTGCTGCGGTTACTTCCTACTAAACCCACCTCCTGCTGTGGAAACACTACTGAACACTGGGCACTACTGAGTCCCGACGGCACCTTTGGACCTTCCCCACTCTCCAAACCCAGCTATCTGTCTGGAGGATGTGGGATTTTAAACCTCATCCAGTTTCCTTTCTACCACGTAATGCCCCACTTCACTGGCACCAGGCGCAAGGACGTTGTTCGACACTCCAGAGCAGATCCCACAGGTTGCAAAGGATCCTGCTCTCAGAGGGTGTTTCTGTCTCCATCCGCTGTGTTCCTCTTGCAGACATCCTCTGAGTTTGCCTCCAGGCCTCCAGCATCATGCTGGCAGCTTAAAGAAACACTTCTGAAGATACTGAACTGCTTGGGATCATTTTATGTTTCACAGCTGAAGAAAAGGTTTCTCAGCTAAAATCCCAGGAGGTGGGAATTAGCCTCTATCCCATTTGTCCCAGTAAGCCCATTTGAAGGATTGAGATTCTGCTTTCATTTTAAACTCTCCTCCCACACCAGGCTGAACACTCGTGCAAGCCACAAGGAACCACAAGTCTGATTCTACCTCGTGCTATCAGTATGTATCTAAGATTTTACGTTCTAAAGGTAAAAGGAAAAACAAGGAACATGAGCCAAGTCTGCAATGCCAAGGGAGTTTCTGAGTGCCATCCTCAGAGACAAACATTGCCAAGTGCAAAGGACGTTATTTCAAAAGGGGCAAACCTTTTTGTTTTTCCAGTACTCAAGAAAACTTCTCCTAAGACAGATAACATGATCAAGCGTCACTTACGGCAGTGAGTTGTCCTTTCAGGAGCCCCAAAACGTACTCGTTGGGAACCCCTGAACAGTCCTGAAAAACACTTCTGCAAGAAACCCCAGCGCGTGAGAAGTACCAGGGGGGAGGATGCTGGTTTCAGCGGGAGCCCCTGACCCCCCCTGCACGTTCTTCCACCTGCAGACGCTGCCACCACCACTGGGTCTCCTGTCGGCCCCTTCCCTCCAGGGCCTGGGCAACCAGCTCATCCCAGGAAGCAGACCCCCAGCGCACGGGTGGAGGGGCAGGGCAGGAGCACCATTCCAGCAATGTCCTGGCTGCTGCCAGACTCGATGCCCGCCGCACAGACCGACCGGAGGCTGCTCTGCTGCGAGGCCACCAGCCACTCAACTCGGCTTGGCTTCTGCAGAGATCTCAGCGTGAGTGCCTGGGGTGATGCCCAGGGTGATGCCCTCCTGACCACAGGCATGGGGACGTGCTCGCTGCTCCTACCCCCAAAGCAACCAGGTGTCACAGCAGGCTGCTCCTCCTCCTCCCATCTGGACCAATCCCTATGGAATTGGCAGTACCAACTGAAGGCTAAAAGCGTGCTGGCACAGCTCCACCTTCCACTGGACACTACAGCCCATCCGTTAAAGTCAGCATTTTGCCTTCATAGAATCATAGAATCGTGGAATGGTTTGGGTCGGAAGGGACCTTCAAGATCATCCAGTTCCAACCCCCCTGCCATGGGCAGGGACACCCTCCACTACACCAGGTTGCCCAAAGCCCCATCCAACCTGGCCTTGAACACTTCCAAGGATGGGGCAGCCACAACTTCTCTGGGCAACCTGTGCCAGTGCCTCACCACCCTCAGAGGGAAGAATTTCTTCCTTATATTCAATCTAAATCTCCCCTCTTTCAGTTTAAAGCCATTGCCCCTTGTCCTGTCACTACACACCCTTGTCCAAAGTCCCTCTCCAGCTTTCTTGTAGCCCCTTTAGGCACTGGAAGGTCTCCCCGGAGCCTTCTCTTCTCCAGGCTGAACAGCCTCAACTCTCTCAGCCTGTCCTCATAGGAAAGGTGCTACGAAGAGGTGCCTGCAATCAAAATACTCCGGCCAAATTTCATTTAAATGAATACAAATACCGTACCTCATCGATGATGTCCCCGTTCTCAGCATGCACTTGGGCAATGGCCCCCAGGTCTCGAATGATGCAGAATATTTCATACATCTGCCAAGAGACAGCGGTTGCCCGACATATCAGATAAATCACAGCTTACACTCGGCGCGTGGGCAACGACTCCCCTGGGCCGCTGGCCGGCTCCGTTACCTGGGCATCGCTGCACTGAAGTTTGTCTTTGTAGGCCATAAAAACCAGGAAGGAGTTCACACCTGGAGAAAAGCAAATTAAACGTGTTCATCGTCCCAGCTGAGAACCCGGCGACTCGGTGGGGGCTGAGCAGGGGGGGATGGAACCAGGGGGGTTTGGACTGAAAGCAGAGCAAAAGGCGAAGGGCTGAAACGGGACCTGTCCCCACAAGGACTGAGCCCCAAAGCCTGGGAGTCACGACAGACAGGACACCCCTATCCTGGGATGCACCTGAGCCACAACATCCTCACAGTCCGTTTCGGCTTTAGGTGCTCTCTGGAACTTGCTCCAAATCCACGGGATCAGACGTGTTGCTCCCAAGTCGAGTCTTCTCTCCAGGGGTGGTTTCAATTTATGGTTTATCTCCAACTTCTTTCTGACAACTGTCTTGGAATTAGTGTGTTAGCGCCAAGGCTGCAAATTGCAGCAGCAGGCGAGGCGCTCTGCTGCTGGTGCACTGGCATTTGGTGCACTGGCACCAAGCTTGGCATCCAGCATCGCACACAATCCTCATTCCTAAGATAAAACGTGATCCATGAAGCACTGACTCAAAGACGGAGAATCGCTGCTGTATTTCATACGGATAGAGGCAACAACTAATCCCAAACGACAATCAAATTACAAACAAACTGTATTTCATGGGAATGTACTTATGAAAAATACCCGGTATGAGCTTGGAATAGCTGCATTACTTCAGCCACTCTGCACTTTAATAGAAATTTACTGCAAATTTCTATGGTAATTGACCAATTAAGCTCTTGCTTCAAGACTGCAAATTAGACTGAAGTCATTTAGCTCTACATTAGCATATCTGAAAGCAAAATGCAGTTGCAAACACGGAAATAAGTATTCATGAAATGCATGAATCCCTGCCGCGTGGCCTGCTTTCCAGTAAGCCATGTCCCGCGGATACGTCAGGATGTGCAGGAATTATAGGTGTGAACGGAATCTCTACGGAAAGCCCAAAGCTTAGTTTCACTCTGTAAGCCCTATCTTGACTGTTTTTATTTAAATAATTTTCAGTACACCAAGCAGCCGGAATCAGGGCGCCTGATCCTGTTCCTTTAGTTTCCAAAATGGAATTTCAGGATGGGGCTGTATGTTCCCCAAAGCAGAGCACACGAACGAGCTGTTCCGGTGTGAACCTGGTGCCACCACCCCATCTGTTCCTTCCTCCCGGACGCCGAAGGACGGGCAGCTGATGGCAGCGCGGCACAGCAGCCACAACCATCCCGGTACACCCTCCAGCGACCTGCTCACGCGCCCGTACCGCAACAGTTAGGGCTGGGGGGTGGGGGGTCTCTGCCAGAACACTGCTCCTCCAGTCCTTACCCTTGTCCTTCACCAGCGCCTCCAGCTCCTCCTTCAGGCTCTCGTGCCAGCGCGGGATGTCGACGTGCAGCGCGTAGTCGCAGCAGGCCTGGCTGTCGGCGCTGCCCCGCCACCGCTCGTAGGCAGCCAGCAGCCCCGTCCCCGCGTCCGGGCACACGTGGTCAACTGAGGAGACAGCGGGGCG